GAAAAGACTGTTGCTGGCCATTACATCCAACATATCATCAAGCCTTGGAATAGGAAATCGATACTTGACTGTAATCTTGTTAATAGCTCGGCTGTCAACACATATCCTCCATGTTCCATCCTTTTTGGGTGTCAATAATGCAGGAACAGCACATGGACTCTTGGTTTCTTGAATGGAACACTTTGCCAATAACTCATCCACTTGTCTCTTGAGCTCCGCAGATTCAGCCGGGTTCATACGATAAGCCGGTAAATTAGGAAGCTGTGACCCAGGAATTAGATCAATAGCATGCTGAATATCTCGCATAGGAGGTAATCCACTAGGTAAATCTTCAGGAAAAACATCAGAAAAATCTTTCAGCAATGTAGCAATCTCTGGTGCAAGGGTTATTGAGTTGAATAAGACCTGAACTTACATCTCTTTCAATACCAAAGCCATCAGAAATCCTTCTTGCTTGCATTCTCTCTCAAATGGCTTCTTGCTGAGAATCTGCAGAGACTTATGTTTGGATATAGCCCCTCTACTTGGTTTGGGATCTGGTTGTTTCTTCACAAGTATATGCTTCTTAAGAGTTTTTGGACTTTGAGGCTTCCAAACAATTTTCTTACCCTTGAATGTAAAGGCATAAGTGTTGTTTTTTCCGTCATGCGTCACCTCCTTATCATACAACTATGGTCGTCCCAATAAAATATGAGCAACTGTCATAGGGATAACATCACACCAAACTGAGCCTTGATATGGTCCTCGTCTCAAGTTCACTAAGCATCGCCTAGTTACTGGAATGGTGGTGTCATTTATCCAAGCAACCTTGTATGGCTCCGGATGTGGCTCTATAGGAAGTTTGAGCTTCTCCACTGTAGATTCTGAAACTACATTCATGAAACTTCCTCCGTCAATGATGAGCATCTTGGTGTCACTTTCACAAGATACAAATGTCTGAAATATTGAAGTTCGCTTCCAATCTTCTTGGGCAGCCTTTGGGGTACTGAGAATGCGCATCACGACCTGTAAGTATGATGTGTCTGCACCACGGTTTCCAAGATCTTCTCCATCACACATTCCCAACTCCTCTTCATCATCATTGTATTCTGGCTCCTCATACTCTTCATCCACAGGATCACCAATGAGTAAATTTCTCTTAGTTGGACACTCATAGGCCATGTGGCCCTTAATTCCACACTTAAAAGCATTCATCCTTCTGGCCCTTTTCCTTCAACAAAGGCACTTTATTTCTTGGTTCAGCAGCTACTGCAGGCTTTGTGAACCTCCCAGGTGCTGTAAATTTCCTGTTGGATGTTTCCCCAGCTTGGTTGTTCATTCTCGTAAAAGGTTGCAGAACCTTCAAACTTTTCTCAACCCTCAATGCAAGATGAAAAGCTTCTTCTATGGTCTTTATCTGGTGGATAACCATTTGATTACGTATCTCTGGTCTTAATCCTTGCTTGAAGCGAGATAAAGCCACCTCTTGGCTCTCAACAGCTCTGGATCGAACTTTCAATTCTTCAAATCGGTTCATATAATCGATCACAGTCATTCCTCCTTGCCTTAGGCTACTCAGATCATCAAGAAGTTCACCCCTGAGTTCTGAAAACTCGTATTTCTTTTCCAACTTGAACTTCATATATTCCCAAGTAACATTTAGATCTCGCCCAAGAGCTTCAATCTGTTGCTCAACTCCTTCCCACCATATTAGAGCTTGTCCCTTCAATTTCATTATGGCAAACCTTGCCTTCCTCTCTTCATGCATCTCATACCAACTAAAATAGCACTCCAGCTTCTTCATCCAATCAATAAAAACTTGAGGATCGATTTTTCCTTCAAAATCAGGTACCTCCAACTTTGTTCTCCTAACAATATCTTCCACAGGATCAGAGATATACGGGTTTTGCCTATCCCATTGTTTCTCATCCTTTTGCTCTAGGAGTTGATGGATCTCATCCTTGAAGGAAGCATATGATTGCTGCAGTTGAGCAATCTTGCTTGGCGTCTTTAGAACTTCTTCTGATGCAACTCCCTTGCCATCACGTTTGGGAACCTTTTGTGGTGATCCAGGTTCTTTCACACCAGCTTCAGAAGTTGGGTTGAGCAATTGGGTCTCAATCTCCAGAATTCTTGCTTCTAGCTCTACCAATTTCTTTACCACGGTAGTCAGAATATGCTGGCTGCTTCCCTCTGCATATTCTCTCCCACTTTTCAGCTTCATCGTGAAAAGTTAAACCTTGCTCTAGTATCAAATTGATGCAGCACGAACGTGGGTGTTTAAAACACAGATCGTAGGTTAAGAAACCTTAAGGACCAGCAGGGAAATTTAAGAAAATTTCAGAAAAGATAGCTTAAAGAAGTAGTATTGTAGCGGAAAATTAAAGGGTAACCAACTAAGAATCACTCTTAGTCACCTTTGGCGTCACACCTCAGGATTTAAAGCTGAATCACTCAACTTTTGCAAAGCAAAGCTTATTGCAAGAATTTTGTTAATCAACGTCTAAAAATCCCTGAAGGGATACAACCTTATTTATAGTCATAAAAAGACTTAAACCAAAACCTATTAGGAGTCTGATTTGGGAAGTCCAGAATCTTCTCCCTTGTTACCTAATAACACTTAGAAACTAAATAGGAAACAAATACTTAAAGTAATTCCCTAAAACCAGAAAATCCTGCAACAATGCAAAATACTGAAATACCCTTATACTAAAATACTGAAAAAAATAAATATAAAAAGAACTTAAATACTTCCAGCAGCTTATTCAAACTCCCAGGAAGGCTCATGCTCAACAAGATTATTCCATATAAGAGTTTGAGCTTTGGAACCTCTCCTAGTATAAAATTTAGTACTCTTCGACCATTTGGCCCCATCACTGTGGTATGTTACAACTTTAACTATTTGCCATTTGAACTCTTTTATTCTACATTTGCAACACAATAACTATTTTAGATTGCTAAAGAGCATAATAAATTAGTCTATAAATTATAGGTATCACAGGCTGTCTTCCTGCTACTTTCGCTGAGATTGGGCTGAGATGAAAAGTGAGAAGCTCTTATTTTTGTCCTGTTTGATAATTTTGCTTCAAATTTTCTCCTGCTTTCCTTACTATTACCAATGCGGATATCTGCTTTCCTTTAGTCCATACTGCCATTTACTGACAGTTTGATTATATTTTAAAAATGAACTAAAGGATGATGTAAATGCTAATGATGTCAAACTAGAAGATGTTAAGCCTGAGATGTGCAACCATCATTCAGTAGTGATAAAATCACATCCTGTTGCCACGTGGTAAAATGGTATATGTGCAGGACGTAGGTGGAAATAATGTTGAAACGATGGGCCCAAAATGGATACTGAGGATTTAAATTATTCAGGAAAGGGGAATCTAGACCAAACCTTCCGGTGACGATTTCATGGATGAAGATGTGAGAGAGACTAAGCTAATGAGTGCAAACGTTGTTTATGAAGAAAGGACTGATGAAGGAAAACTTGAAGAGTCTTTGTGAAGGGTGAAGGTCATGTTTTTGTTGAAAATGAGTAGTAAGTGAATGAGAATTAAGTTTCTCAAGAGTTGGAAAAGTAGAGTTTAGGCTAATGGACTTTGTCCCACATTGGTGTTGGGAAGAGTTGGAGCTCACTTTATAAGTGAGATCCCAAAATTGACTTGCAAGTTGACTTCCCAATACTATACCACATCTCTCTCACTCGCGTGTGCCCGCGCAAAGGGGTGCAAATGGAGGTCCGATTCGGGGCAAAAATATCGTGACTCATGTGTGCGCACGACCTGCGGACACGAAAGCCGAACCGTGAGAACTCACGCTGGCCTGATCAACCCACGTTTTGCTCCGGTTCGAATTAATTTTTTTTAGTTAAATTTTAAATGGAGAATTATATTCATTCATTTCAGTCAACATGGAACTGAAACGTTGCAATTGTTTTGCTGTCATGAATGATCAGAATGAATTGTCAGATTTAATTATATTAAAAGGCAAAAATGAATTCATAATGGTAATATCCATGATCTTACAACTGGAGAAGACAACAATTTTGCTGATAGCAACAATGACGAACGACCGGCTCAGAAGGCACCCAAACGTCCAAGGAAAAAATAAAATAGTTCACAGTATTGAGTTACTTAATTATTATTATTGTTGTGTTATATTTTGAGATTAAGTTGCGTAGCTTGCAACAAATAAACTCAGCTATCATTGGATCTAGATATCTATTATTTCAGGGTTTTATTCCAGAAAAATAGTCCAATTTGAATTTTGAATTTTGGAAAAAAGAAACTAGCAAAGATACGGTCCATTTTATGCCAAAGCCTATCGGTGTTGCTTCTTCCTCTTCCCTCTTATTGATCAAATTCTCAAACTTGGCAACTTATTCTTGTCGATATGAAGCTTACGTTTGGGACTTCGAAAGCAGTTTTGCTACTTTTAGTTTGTTGAATAATACACTATTGTACACAGGAATACTTCAGTTTTGGAAAATACAATTTAATAACAAAAACTATTATCAGATCAAATTTAAACAAAAGCTTCAAAATCTCAATATCTAAAATATAAAAAGTATATATTAAAATAAAAAGATTATTCGTACAAAAGAATCCGTAAATTGAAAAACTTGCTACTATAATAATCAACTAAGTAGATCGCAACCTCCGACAAAAAATCTAACTGACAGTTCATATAATTTGAATATATGAGGAGGCTCCGAAAACACTTTGTGCTCCTATTTTATCGTATCCAATAAAATATACTTATTATAATCCGACACACCCAGAATAAACTCACCATGAATCGATGCTTTTGGACATAGTATCAAAGGCCGAAAAAGACTATGTCCATAATGAACCGAACGTGGAGTACCGGGCAATAACAAAGAGAAAGGCAAGACAACATTGTATTCTTTCATCCAATCCCAAACACCACCCTCGACATTGACAGCATCCCTCTTTTTCCACGTCCAGTTTTCAAATACCTCAAAAAAAAACAGCATGGCTAGGATTCTCCACACACTATACACCATTCAACTCCAAAAGAACAACCCTTTTGCTCAAATAGTAATCGTCACTACTCCACGATGCATCTTTAGGTCCAGAAATAATATTGAAAGTTTCTACACAAACATCAAAAGATATTAAAGTCTCATCCCACGCATAACCATCCACTTCCAAGTGAAGATCTTTCTCTATCGCCCAAAAATCATGCCCTCCAACAAGAATACCATCCCGAACTATGCCTGGATAGATAACACATGTATCTTTCCAGACTTTGGCTCGACAGTTTAACATCTCATCATACCTCCAACTCAACATCCTCCCTTCCATAGTTTGTTCATGAGTTAATCGCATGTATTCGCACCAATTAAAGGATAACCCAAAAGTTAGTTCCCAACAACCAGGAACAAGCGGTCCACGCGAGTGATATGCAGGGGGCAACGCGACAACTTGCCCGGTTGTGGAATTTAATATTCGAATCCCATTAAAAAAATTACTAACAAACCAAATCGCAAGTGATCAGTAATACCTTTAAGGCGGCATCCTTGTCTATGTATGCATATGTAGCTTTACTAATCCCCGGCAGTTCATGATGATGTGAGGCAACAACATTAAATTTAATTAAATTAAGGTCCGCATCATTTTTATTTGACTGACAAACGAACATAAAGCTCGGATTTCCTTTCATAAGATTTCGTTCTCATATACTTAACATCGTCTTGTCATCGCATGTGATAGAATTCCATATTTTTCTTACGCACCTGCAACAACAAAGGCTAATTGCATCCAGTCTCATAAAAATCTCCCACATAACTTCATTTGGAATCTTGTCTATTATACCCGCACGATCTTCATGCCAAAATTGGCAGAGACTTTGACGGATGAACATCGTTACTAGACTTCTTTTAAAATATGTTTAAGATTATTAAGGCAGCGCTTTATCAAAAAAAAAAAAAAACACAAGAAACAAATAATGGAATTAACAAATCGCACGACCAATAAAGGTAAGGACGAGGACTATTCTGTTTTAGAGGGACAAGAATTTACACGATGAATTAATACAACCAAAGCACGAACATAGATATTTTTAAGATCAATAATCAAATTAATAAGCTTGAGAAATTGTCCCTCCAAACATACTAGATTTAGGATTCGACAACTAATACTAAACTCTTTAGGATTTGGCACATAAAAAGAGTTTAAAAAAAAACACACGGCAAAATAAATAGGAAATATGTAATCTCTTTCTCAATATGAAACAAACAAAATGGCAAATTCTTGTCTATATATACCAAGGTTGGGCACCCAACCCCAATACTTCAAGCAACACAAGTACTACATCAATATTAAGGTTTGTATTAAGTTTTGGAATTTATTCAATTTTCAATATATTTTGTTCGATTTTTGAAATTGCTACTCATCTAAAGAAATATTGGTATGTTTTTTCACAATCTAAAGAGTTCTTCCATATAACATACAACACAAATTGCTACTCATCAACAAAAGTATTACGATGGAATTCATAAGCCAACAACAAAAAAAAAACTAGGAGAGAGACCTGTTGGAAATGAGTAGTAAGTGAATGAGAATTAAGTTTCTCAAGAGTTGGAAAAATAGAGTTAAGGCTAAGGAGTTTGTCCCACATTGGTGTTGAGAAGAGTTGGAGCTCACTTTATAAATGAGTGCCCAAAATTGATTTGCAAGTTGACTTGCCAATACTATACCACATTTCTCCCGCTCGTGTGCACCCGCGCAGGGGGGGTGCAAATGGAGGTTTGATTCGAGACCAAAATAGCTTGACCCATGTGTGCACACGACCTGCGGGCACGAATGCAAAATTAAACTCTCGCGGGCCTGATCAACCCAAGTTTACTCCGGTTCGAATTAATTTTTTCCAGCTAAATTTTAAATGGAGAATTATATTCATTCATTTCAGTCAAAATGGAACCGAAATGTTGCAATTGTTTTGCTGTCATGAATGATCAGAATGAATTGTCAGTTTAATTATACTAGCAATGATGTGGCCGCACGAGGTGCGGCCTTAGGGAAAGCTGACTCGGACTGATCTTTGGAACCATACCAGATAAGTCTCCAATTTATGTTGATTGCTTTTCTTTTAAGTCAGGAACTCAAAATAACCATGGCCACCACCCTCATGGGAATGTTTCAAAAGAAACACGGACGGTACAGGCGTATAGCCAAAATAGTTACGACTAGCGGGCTCATTCACAATTATGAAGCGTTTTGGATAACGGATTTGCGGCAAACATAAGCAATCGCAACTCCCTAGAGGCTGAGCACTGGGGCTCTCTTTGACCTTCAGATTGCTACGAATTTAGGCTTTAGAAAAGTTTAGTAAAGTTCATAGAGGGTAACGTCAAATTGTAGCCTTTAATAATTCTTCGACCTCTCAAGAATTTGTGTTAGGATGTTTCCTTTTCCCTTTTTTAGGGTTGTGCTACAAGTGTACATGTTTATTTAGGGGAAAAAAAAACTGTAATTAGTCTTAGTGAGCAGTGCGTCACTGTCAGTCCCCTCAAATCTCAAATGTTCAATTTTTCCAAAACCTCCGAATTCACTTTTTCCTAATACATCGCTTCATGTTCTTCAAAAACCAAAAATATTTCATATTCTACAACCGCAATATAAAATAAGTCTAAACTACGGCTGTTTATACAAGTTAAGAACTTAAAATTAAGAGAATGGAAATTTGTTCAATCTATTTGTGATATACGCAGCAACTAATACCAATCAATTGTCCTATAGTTGAATTTCTTTTCCTTCAAACATTCAATAGTCATTCCCACTTTTAATATTCAACCACGTCTGATTTCAGATTCAACCGATTTTGTTGCACAGTTATCGCTCTTGCTCGATGTGTGAGACAGACCAATAACTAATAATCTTACGAGGAAAATGATAACTTTAGAAGAATATAAAGTATTGTAATATCATAGGATGTATTTTCTTAAACACTGCCACATAAGATCTCACTCAGATAGGATGTATTTTCTTAAACACTGCCACATAAGATCTCACTCAGACCTAATATCATACACCTTACATGCGAACAAAAAATGTGTACCAAACTTCAATTTATGGAACTTATAAAGTACTGTACCCGCAGCAAACAAACAATCTACAAAAAATATCACGTAGAGATTTAAGATCCTAAGTATACAAATTTATAGCTATGGACAAGTAATCAAAATTCTTATTTTGTTTCCAACTTTGAGGTTCTATCACAGCTTCTTCACTATAAAACTAAACAATATTTCGTTAATTAAAGTTCCAAAACTTTAACTTGCAGTATCACTTCCCAACAGAATCTGTTTGCTTCTTCCAACCAAATAAACACCGCCGTATTATCTCAACTCTTCTCTCTCTCTCTCTATCCCTCTCTCTCTCTCTTAATCAATAATAACTTCTAAAAGTGAGAAGTTGTTATTATAATTTAAGAACTCACAAAAATCTAACAAAAGTAAGCATTCATCGCAATTGTGTATCGCAATTGCTTTCACGTTCCTAATAATCAAATATTCATTTACCGTAAAATAAAGGAAGAAGAAGAAGATTCAAAATTGTTTAGAGCAACTTGGAAAATTACTGTCCCAAAATTCCAATAGAGCCAATACAATCAAAATTTCAAAAGGCAGGTTGGGAATACAATGGATGAACACAATAACAAACATTACCCTTTTGCCGGAATTCCTTCGGCCAGCCCAAACCAAATTCATTTTCTCTCTTTTTCATTCATTCAGAACAGAAAGGGGGAAAGGAGCTTCAAATTCAATGGACAAAGAAGCCGTGGAGACGATGGGTCACTGGGTAAAAAGGTGACCACAAAGAACCCCACTTGCCAAAGAAGGTGTCCAGCTGTCCAATATCCAATTGCCACGTCACTATTATAACCTACAACCGTGCCAAAAAAGCACATTCCCTCTTTATATTAAGTAGATTAAAAGGCAGAAATGAATTCATAATGGTAATATCCATGATCTTACAACTGGAGAAGACAACAATTTTGCTGATAGCAACAATGACGAACGACCGGCTCAGAAGGCACCCAAACGTCCAAGGAGAAAATAAAATAGTTCCCAGTATTGAGTTAATTATTATTATTGTTGTGTTATATTTTGAGATTAAGTTGCGTAGCTTGCAACAAATACACTCAACTATCATTGGATCCAGATATCTATTATTTCAGTGTTTTATTTCAGAAAAATAGTCCAATTTAAATTTTGAATTTTGGGAAAAAGAAACTTGCAAAGATACGGTCCATTTTATGCCAAAGCCTATCGGTGTTGCTTCTTCCTTTTCCCTTTTATTGATCAAATTCTCAAACTTGGCAACTTATTCTTGTTGATATGAAGCTTACGTTTGGGACTTCGAAAGCAGTTTTGCTACTTTTAGTTTGTTGAAATATACACTATTGTACACAAGAATACTTCATTTTTGGAAAACACAATTGAATAACCAAAACTATTATGAGATCAAATTTAAGCAAACGCTTCAAAATCTCAATATCTAAAATATAAAAAGTATATATTAAAATAAAAAGATTATTCATACAAAAAGAATCCGTAAATTGAAAAACTTGCTACTATAATAATCAACTAAGTAGATCGCAACCTCCGACAAAAAATCTAACTGACAGTTCATATAATTTGAATATATGAGGTGGTTCCGAAAAAACTTTGTGCTCCTATTCTATCGTATCCAATAAAATATACTTATTATAATCCGACACACCCAGAACAAACTCACCATGAATCGATGCTTTTGGACATAGTATCAAAGGCCGAAAAAGACTATGTCCATAATGAACCGGACGTGGAGTACTGGGCAATAACAAAGAGAAAGGCAAGGCAACATTGTATTCTTTCATCCAATCCAAAACACCACCCACGACATTGACAGCATCCCTCTTTTTCCAAGTCCAGTTTTCAAATACCTCGAAAAAAACAGCATGGCTAGGATTCTCCACACACAATACACCATTCAACTCCAAAAGAACAACCCTTTTGCTCAAATAGTAATCGTCACTACTCCACGATGCATCTTTAGGTCCAGAAATAATATTGAAAGTTTCTACACAAACATCAAAAGATATTAAAGTCTCATCCCGCGCATAACCATCCACTTCCAAGTGAAGATCTTTCTCTATCACCCAAAAAACATGCCCTCCAACAAGAATACCGTCCCAAACTATGCGTGGACAGATAACACATGTATCTTTCCAGAATTTGGCTTGACAGTTTAACATCTCATCATACCTCCAACTCAACATCCTCCCTTACATAGTTTGTTCATGAGTTAATCGCATTAAA